TATCGACCTTCTTTTGTCAAGGAGTTGCAAAGAATGAACAAACATTTTCCAGGATGTTATAGATAGAAGAAACAGTACCAGCAAAGGGAGAGAGACATCATATAACCTGGCAAATACAGGAAATTATACATCATTTTAATATGGTTGGTAGTGAGCATAAAGAAGGGTTAAGACTCTTCCTTATCTGGAGCAGAGACTGAAGTGAAGTGAAAGTCGCTCAGTAGTGTCTGACTCTTTGTGATTCCATGGACTATACAGTCCACGGAAATTCTCCAGGCCAGAATACAGTGCATAGCCTTTCCCTTCTCCAGGGGATCTTCCCAACCCAGGGATTGAACCCAGGTCTCCTGCATTGCAGTCAGATTCTTTACCAGCTGAGCCACAAGGGAAAGCCAAGAATAGTAGAGTGGGTAGCCTATCCCTTCTCCAGTGGATCTTCCTGACCCAGGAATTGAACCGGGGTCTCCTGCATTGCAGGCGGATTCTTTACCAACTGAGCTATCAGGGAAGCCCAATGGATCTCAAAGGGGACAATTATTAAACAAGATTATATGTTAATATATGCTTTTTGACTCAGGGTGTTTTGTTTTGAGAGGGGGAATATTCTTCGTGTGGCATTTTTTTCCCCTAAGTGGAAAACATTCTTTAAAGGAACTTCTTAAAACAGAAAGCATAGTCAATAAATGCAGGATACAAAGATTTTCACGAAGCAGTTTGAAAATAAGTGACCTGTGACATATATTAAAAGACTTCCAACAACTGTAACCACATAAAGAAGTAAAACAGCAAATCTACAACAGGTACAAATTATATACATTTATTTTTTAATAATTTTAAATAACACTCTTGTATAAATTCTTTCTTATATTCAAATCATACACAAATTTAGAAATGCATCATGAAGCCTAGTACAGCATATGTATGAGACATGTTTTTAAGATGTGTGTTAGAATTTTAGTGACATAAATACGATTTTAACGTTTCAGAAACACTCGTTGCTTGGGCGGAAATTTAACGTATTGCAGAGTGCTTGTGCCTAGCATGAAGATGCCGCTTTACATCAGTCAGCTCTCAGGCTGGCTCAGACCTCAGGCCTGGCCTCACGTTCTAGGGCTGCTGGTGCAGTTACTGCAGATGCAGGATAAGGAAGGTTCCCAACGGCCTTTGAAAAAGCATCCTTTGACCACTGACCTTCTGTGATCCATAGCCTTTTTAGTTCATGTGGTATCATTTGATTTCTTCAGGTGAATCACTGTGTTCTTCTTGCTGCTTCCCTGGCATCGTCGCTGGCCCAAAGTGGAAGGGAAAACTTAACGTTAACCTGTCACTGCCCTGCACACACCAAACCCGTGTCAGCTCCCAAACTCCTATCAAGATGATCATAACAGACCAAAGGCTCTCCGTCGATGAGGCCAGAGACGCTTCCTTTGCTCTAACAGGTTACCTTGGGTTGCTTTTTACTTTTCGGAAATTTTTGTGGGAGCTTTCTTTCCTTGTGATCTATAAATTCAACTCCTTCCCACATACCTCAAAATATAAGAACCAGGGAATGTTCATAATCAGAGGTGCTATGTTGACCGTATATCCAACAAAAAAATACAGGACCAAAGTGAATGATTTAATAACGCAGTCCAAACTAGGGCTGTCAGCAGGAAGGACTGTCGCTTCCGCTCTCTGGCTCCAGAAGAGCACAAGAAGGGCTGCACGTCCCCCAGGCACTCAGCTGACCACAGTGAGCTGGAGGGTCAGTGCGTGCGGCTTTAACCGTCACAGTCTCCCGGGAACACTGGGGCTAGAGCGCAGACACACACTGTGATGCTGCCACAAATCCTCTCCCCACCAAGCCCCTCCTCCATCCCATGTCGGCTCTGTTCTCTCTTAAAACCCAGGGATCCCTAAGAGTAACACAGTAAGTCCACAGGACCTTAGCATAAATGAGGTTTAGTTTTTATCAGCATTGTTCTCTGTAACTAGAGAAATTCTATCAGTAAGACAGCTCTGGGAGCTAGAGGACGGAGGTAGGGAGGGGAAAGTAAAGGACAGACACACTTCACAGCACTACCCAGGACGCCTGACTGTCAGAAATGCATGCGGGCTTACCACAATGAGTGGGTGAAGATTAAGCTAGCATCCAGCAGCAGTGTCTGTCACTCATCACTTAGATTCACACTAGTCTCACCTCATTTGAAAATAAACACATTCCTAACTCTTAGACCCTATTAGTCTTTCCAAAGGACGTATGGGATCCTGGTGCTAAACACCACAGTATGTGGGGATCATGCTTTTAGAGGAATGACTGCTGTGTAACGCATTCCATGCCAGGTTCCTAGTCTGATTTTGGTGGTAGATCACTTCATGATGGATTTCTACTTCAGAGCAAAATTACCTCCACCAGCAGAAGCACAGAACACTAAAGAATATTATTTAAAATAATTTTAAGACCTTAATTTTTTTCCACCAGGATAAACTGAGAACATGACCTAGGCCCTGTTCATAAGTATTTAAAGGTAAACGTTCTTTGTGATTCAATTTTTCCAGTTCCTTTTAACATCTGTTTCAAGGAATGTCTACATAGCCAGAATCTGGACTGTTCAGCTTTGGCTCTAAGACCCCAACAAACTCTATTTCTTTATTGTGTTAACTTTTGTTGAACAAAATTCCCACTATCCCCAACCCCTGGCTTTGAGGGCGTGGTAACCTGCAGAAAGGCGTGTGTCACGTGACACACTTCCTCGGAACTATCTCTGCACACACGTGGCAGCTGTGGGAAGTAGGGCTTTCTCTCCCTGCCTAGAAAGATGTTTCCTTTTAGGAAGCACAGACTTGTATTTTTATTTTCTCATCACCAACACTGGCTTCAGAGACTAATCCTCCTGTGCTCTTTCTGCAAAGCCCTTCGTGGCTATATAGCCCTGGATCGTACCTTGTATTCACAAAAATCAGAAACGTTCACAGATAGGATTCTTCCTCCCAGCCTTCCAATGTCTGCGGCTGGGTCATTTCTGCACAAGCATACAACTGAAAAAAACATGTGCTTCTGAGTTGGGAGTCCTGATTCCAAGCCAAATGATATATGGTGTAGCCTTGAACGAGACATTTAACCTCACCCATAAACTGAGAACAACAATCACTTCCTCAGAGGCCTATGGTGAGGAACCAAGGACACACGTATAGAAAGACGCCTTGCAAACTGAAAAGGGCTACAGAAACATTATCTGATTTTAATGTAATCTCTACTTTCATGAGCAATGGCCAGATATCCAGAGCCTCTCCAGTTACTAGAAGTAGATTATCTGCCTGTATATCCTCCAGAGCATCATCTGCAACTGCAGAGGGATGACCAAATTCCAGGTTTTTCTCTGGAGAAGTTAGGCAGGGTGATCAACTTGGCAGGGTTTCCTAGGTCTAATTTTTGCTTTTTTTTTTCCCTAACCACTTGACAGTTTGTTCTTCCTCCTAATAAATATCTGTATTTGACTTCTGGCTGTTTTTCCTGGCTTAGTTTAATTTACAATCTGTCAATATCATAATTAGAGGAAAGCAAAGGTAGAGATGTCCTCGAAGAAAAAACTGCATCTAAATGCAATGACTAACAATACCCATTCAACTACAGAGCTACCCTCTAACCAGACAAGAAGATACAAGAACTACAGCACTGCAGAGAGATGGTACATGCCCCATGGCATGTGAGTGACAGGCTACATTCAAATGTAGGAAGTATTTGGGGGTGGGAAAAGAATATAAATATTTCACAGGGGATCCCAAGTGATGTGATGGCTTTTCTTTTGGAGCTAAAATATTTCTTCCTTTGGAAGACTATTTTTACTTTAAAAACAAATTTTAACAAGCATGTGTTCTACTTTAATCTATGTCAAATATACAGAAGCTAATGTCTAAACAGATGAGTAGTTTGGAGAATCCAGCATTGTGTCCCAGCTTAACAATCATTGTCTTCAAAATCTATTGCTTGAATCTATAGGAAGTCAAAGACCATAGAACTCTACTTTTAGACTGAAAAAGGGAAAAATTAGAAACATCCAACCTCTTATAAATTTCAACAATGTCCAAAGAGGGACTAAAAATGACTGATGCTCACCAGAGTCCCAGCTCTAGCAATATTGCCATCTATTTTACAGTATTTTTAACCCCATATTTTCTTTTTACAATGCCATTAACTGCTATACAAATAAATTCTAGATGATAAAATAAGACATGATTTTTTTTTACAAATAGATACAAATACAATGCTGACCAGATATTCTAGATTAACTATATACACCTTATTTCTCTAGAGGCAGGAATATTCCTTATTTTTAAACAATTTATCATTTACACTGAGGCCCTAAGGAGAATCATTAGCTTTCTGCTTTCCCAGACATTGCCTTCCTCTCTCTACCATTAGAAGCCTATCCTGTGCTTTAATCTTATCACTGAGCAAAAACTCTGGAAAGAAGAATCAAACCCTTCTAAAGATCTTCTTGGGACTTTACTGCCCCTATTATAGAAACAATCAAGATCGTGTATTATGACACAGCCCAAATATCAGCTTTTCCTCAAGGATGTCTTTTAGTCCAGTAAAATGAATATCCTTCCTGGCCTTCCTTTATCAGGAATGGAGATAAAGTCTTCTGGCAGTCCTGTCCCCCTCCACATCCATCATCCTGTTTCCACTGATGGTGAACATTCCCCCAGGAGTCTATTTGGAGGTCAAAGTGGATTGGGGCTGCTCTGAGAGGCTCAGCCTTCTACTCTCCCACATGATTTGGTACAAAAATATACTTTACTTCAAGTACTTATTGTCAGTGACTGCTTCGGATCTTCACGGGAAAACTAAGGGGAACAGGCTGAGCACATTACAAATCAGTACCTGAAAACTTGCGATGCACTACATGCCTTTGCTTTCTCATCTCAGCGGCTCTCCCCGGGCTGTGGCCCAGAGAACTCCGCTGCCTTAGGGAGCACCGTGGCCCTAAGATCCAGAGGACAGCTCTGGCTCCCCCTCAGGCTTTGTAGTTATGCATGGGTGTCGTCAGGGTCAGCTGCCCGTTGGGAGCCACTTCGTTGCCATCATCTTCCAACAATCCTGACACGTCTGCATTGGGAATGCTGTCGTGGTAGCTGCTGAAACTGATATTGTCTTCTTTCAGCTCAATGGTCCAGAAGGGGGCGTTGAGTTTCCGGTTTTGGTACTCCCGGTACATATATACAGCCCCCACAAACCCCATGAGCAGCACCACCACAATGATGATGACTGTCAAAATGATGATGTTAAACTGGGTCCATGATACGTCAGCTAAGGCTGAAGTGCTGTTTTCAGCAGAGCTTACTGAAAAGACAGTCTGCGGGGTCGTAGGGGTAAAGGTACTGTTTATAACAGGGGTGGGCACTGATGTGGTCAAAGAGGCATTGGAAACCAAAATGGTAGAACCTTCAGGTGTTGGAACAATAACTTCTGAAAATAAAAACAGAGAATGAAATGTAAAAGACAAAATATCTTGTTTTAAGAAACAATAAAAGAAATACACATGGGAGTGGAAATTGACATGGGATGTTGACATGATACTCTGCTTTAAAGTAATGCAAGTTAAAAAATAATTTTTAAAGAAATATAGTGGAAAGAATCAGGGCCTAGAAAACTAGATTATTACATCCATGGCTGTTATCCAAAATGTATGTAATATCCATACTAAAATCTTAGGGAAAATTCTAACGTTGGAGTTTTCCATCCTCCTGTTCTCTTGAATAGATTCATACGAATCCCTGAAAAGGTAGTAAGTATATCACTACTGACGTCTAAATCACTTTGTTAAAAGTGAAAGGGATAGCTAATACTCATTTGAATTAAAATAAGTTCAGCGTGTCTGATGGCACTTCATAAAGGTAAAATTATCTTTAATGGGGGCAAAAACAAAATAGGAAAAATTGCATTTCTAGTTGCTTCTGAAAAACACAATTTAAATGGCCATAGTTTACATCAGCAGAGAGAGAAAACAGCCATTGCCAGCATAGTGATTTTTCCTTTATATAGATTATAGTTATTTTACAACTAAGGTACTATATTTTGTACTTTTAATGCAGCATAGCTCAGTGGAGATACCAAAAGCTTTGGGATCAAGTAGAACTGTGTAGCAATAAATAAGTCAGTCAATCTTCTTAAAACTGAGATTCCTCACCTATAAAATGGGAATAATGATATCTATTTTACGGAGTCCTTGGGAAGGATTAAATTAAGATTAACTTAAAGTATATAACATTATTACATTTAATGTTCATAGTGCCTGGCACATACTAGGCACTCAATAAAATGATTCCTATTATCACTACAATTCATCACCACAGTCAGGCACATCAATCTACCCTAAAAAGAGGCATGCTTTACATTCTCTAATAGCTAATAAGAAAAGTCATCATAGCCCGGTCAGCTAAATACGGACAAGGTATATGCCTCCAGTGGGAAAGAGAATTGAATGACAGGTTCTCTGGACTAGGAATAGGGTTCAATCTGAGTTTTTGATCCTTGATCACAGAAGAATAAAGATATCAAGAAAATGGTAGAAGACTAACTCTTGCCACAGGGCAACTGTATCAGCCCAGGATTCGGCATCTATCAGAATATCAAAGAACAGTTTATAGAAGAGCATGGTCTGATCTTTATGACCCAAGAAAGTCTGAACACCCCCAACTCATCCTGAATTTCCAATCATTAATTTTTATCTGAACCCTTACTGAACTTCCCTGTAAGAAACATTTTGCTACATGAGTAACTTTTTTCTTTCAAAAATGAAGGAATATTTTTACTATTTCTTCTATCACATGGGAAAACTTAGGCTCAAAGTTAGGACAGAAGCTGGAATAAATTCTTATTTCTCAGCTAACTTCTAGCCAGGTTATAGGTTTCTACTTAAAAAGATCTTTGATGATCACTGGAAGTGATGAGAATACAGGAAGCAAAAGATAAAAGAAATGACAGGACTTTTAAATTATTGAAATAAAAATAGATGAAGAGAAGATGTGAGAACACTGCAATGACTTCATCACGGTCCTCAAATTTCTGGAGTTGATTCTGGAGTCTCAGGAGAGCAGCAGGAATAGAAGGGGATCTCTTTGGGCAAATCTCTATCAAAATCTATTTCCCAAAAAAACTTCTCTGGACTTTACAAAGCTAAAAGTAGGTGTCCTGAAATTTCCATTGCTAGGTTAAGATATTAAATTTACACCCTTAGGTGAAGTTTTACCTTTCTTGATGCAATTTCCCTCGAGGTCTCGGTCGTAACCCTCTAGGCAGTTTTCACACCAAAACCCAGTGGTATTGTGGAGGCAGCTGATGCACTCCCCACTCTCGGGCTTACAAATCTTTGGAGTCTTAACTGGGTCCACGTGGCCATGGCATTGGCACTCCACACAGATGCTGTCAGAATTGTAGTAGCCACTGTTACATTCATTGCAGTTCTGGCCTGTGTAACCATCTTTACACTGGACACATTCAGGTTCTGATTCACCCAGCTCTAAAAGAGAGAACACCAACATGGTTTAGTACAATTTCAAGTTGCAATGCAAAATGCAAAACTACTAGTAACCACCCCCCCACAAAAAAAAAACCCAAAACATTTTACACCCCCTGACTATTATCTCCTCTCAAACTTAAGAAACATATGGAATTCAAACTAACAATTTACACCTTATTTATTAATTGTCCAGAAAACCTATTTACTATTTAGGTAGAGAACAAAAGAAGTATGCTTATCTAAAGAATCTGAGTGACTGAGACGGAGAGGCACTCATAATTCTTCCATTCCTTTCTCTTTAATCTTGTAAGACAGGATAAAACACAGTTTTCACAACAACTTCCTCATCCCTCCGTCTTGTCTCATTCCACAAATGCATTTACTGCAAACCTTTACTGTTTTTATAACTCCCTTTCACCTACAGCATCTAGAACTTTCTACCTACTGATCACTGACTCGCTGATTTTTCCTCTAAAAATGAGTATTTAGAGAAAGGCCTTACTTATGATACAACTGCCTGTAGATGTCACTGCTGAACAAGGGCAGCGAAGACATTCTTTGGAGGCATCAGGACTCTGATAAAATCCTTCTGCGCATTCTTCACAGTGATCTCCTTTGCTGTTATCCTGGCAATTTAAACAAGCACCTAAAAGAAGCAAATCATCTTAAGAAGTTAAAGATTTACTCCAAAAGCACAGTAACTTTAAATAAATTATAAGTACCTACAACCAAAAAACCTTAAGAGGAAACCAGGAAAAGTCACCCAACACAGGTTGCACAGTTCAGTTCCTACCCCATCTTACTTCCACACTGAACAGGCCTACAGTTCTGGTCCCCTACAAGACTGTAAACTCTTTAGGGAAAGGCTGGGTACATGACTAGCATTGTAATAAGCCCTTGTTGATTGACTGACTACATACTGAAAGCAGGCCAACAATTTGCAAAGAAAAAAAAAAAACACCTAAAGATCTATTAAAAGAAGAACAGATAAACTGTTATTTTCTCAGTTGGGATTCTGTAGCTAAATAAGTAAACTAGGCCTGTATGTATGAACACACATAAATCCTAAAAACGTTGCTTGAAAAAAAGCAAACTGCAGAATAATACATAAAAAGGGAGAGTGCTTAATTATTTTGTACAAATTAATTGATTTTAAAAATTTTGGGGGAAAATTTTATACAAATTAATTGATTTTAAAAATTATCATATGTGAAATAGATCGTCAGTCCAGGTTCAATGCATGAGACAAGTGCTCAGGGCTGGTGCACGGGGATGACCCTGGGGGATGGGATGGGGAGGGAGGTGGGAGGGAGGGTCAGGATGGGGGTCACATGTACGCCCATGGCTGATTCATGTCAATGTATGGCAAAAACCACCACAATATTGTAAAGTAATTAGCCTCCAATTAAAATTAATTTAAAAAGATAAAATAAAAATATATAAAATAATCTAAGTCCAAAATGAGCCAATAACTTTACCCTCCACAGGAAGAACCTCAGAGCATATGAACTACAATCACTCCTCCCTTGACCTAAATATATGAAAATAGTATACATTAATTCTATCTTTATTCCTCACAATTTCTTCTTATGCCTCGAGTTTTCTTAGTTGCGTTTGTCTAAAATATCCATATTACCCTCACCTAAAAGAGTGATTTATGTTTTGTAATTAATTCTATGTTCAGAGATTTTTCCTCTCAACTCAATAAACATTTTATTCCTCTGCAAAAAAAACAATAAAAAATAAAAAATTTTTTGGCCATACTGCAAGGAATGTGGGATCTTCGCTCCCCAACCAGGGGTCAGACCTGCATTCCCTGAACCGGAAGCAGCGAGTCTGGAATCTCAGCCACTGCACTGCCAGCGAAGGCCCGTGGCTGACTGACCGAAGTAAATTTAAAGCCATACTAAACAGTACTAAGCAAATGGATACACAGTACCCTAGGCAGAGGGATACATTCAAGTGCAATAAAAACTGACTGTAGACTGAGAGGGTATAGGCAAGTTTTATGCTTTGTTTATTTCTGTGGAGGGAGGGAAGAAAACAAGAGTAGGGAAGAAAGCAAAGAGAAGGACTCCAACTCTATTTGAAATTTTCTATTCAGCAAAACACCAAAATGTTAATAATTCTCTAGGTGTGGGTACATGAGTATTTGTTATATTATTCTCCATATGGCTTTATATTTCAAAATTTAAAATAAAAATGCAAACAATAATGAAATGAAAAGGAAGGAGGCAAGCAAAGTTCTGTGTGTCTTAATAATACCCTTTGGTCCCCTATTAGGAAGGACAGTCAACGGGCACTGAAGGAGCATAATGTCTGCAAACAGGGAACAAAACCATGTAGTATAATTTACATTCAAAGAGACACTCAGAACTACTATCACAGAAATGAGTAAACTCTATATAGAAATCTAGGAAGGCAAAAAAGTGTTTACATGCTAAGCTAACTACAGTTCAATGCTAAAACCATCATAAATAATTTTATTTGATTTCTCTTCCTTACTAGAGAAATATTTACAAAAAAGAAGAAACAGAATGAGATTATGTAATAAAATGATCTGACAACTGGAATAAGATTTGAAAAACTACAAGAATGATTAATATATATACAATTATTAACATACATGTCAAATCTCAATACTTAAGCGATTACAGCAAAGTTCTTTGAAACTTCATGAACTTATTTAGAAAGACATTTAAAAAAATTTGTATATAAACACTTAACTCTTAAATCACATTTGCATGTAAATATCACTTTCAATCATACAATTTTTAAGGTCTAATACTAATGATATATTTCATATATACAACAAAATAGTATATCCGCATATAGTGATGAACAGTTTAAGTACTGATTTCTTCCCAGATCCTATTATATCCTGATCCCTCTTTAGCTATGTATCTTCGTGACAAAATAGCTGAAAAATACATACTAGGAAACTGTAGATTCTTGTTGCAAAAATAAAATAATATTAAAGGTCAAAGTGTTCTGCAGTTGGAAAATACAAAACTTGCTTTACATATAAAATCTGTCTACCTGCTCTCCCCATATTAAAAATGTTCAGTGGAAATAATTTTATATATATATATATATATATATATATATATTGCTCCTATGTTATTGGACCTACATGCTTATTATTTCGGGACTTTCTACTATTCTAGAAAAGACCCCAAGCATGTCTTTCTGCTTATCACAATACAGTTTCACTCTCCTAAACCAGTTATTTTAGAGCATTTTACATTTTCTCCAGGAAAATTTTTTATTTTGATTCGTTTTATGCCATAAGCTGCAATAAGAAGTCAATAAGAAAAAAATAACTCTACATGGTTAGTATGTTATCTCAAAAGTAAGGATGAAAACAAATATAACAATAGAATTCATTGGTTTTTGAAAACTCATCACTCTATATTGTTTAAAAATAACAAGCACCTGGAATGTAGCTATAGAAAAACAAAATTAATAAGGACAGATCAAACATAAATACACCAGAATGCTCACTGTAGATGTGAGGGGCGACTGTCATGTAAGTGTTTTTTCCCCTTTAACTTCCAAATGGTTTCTAGTATGCATTTATCACTTTATTTTTACTATCTTAAATTTTTCTGGTAATAAAATTAATACATTGTAAAGTATATCACATGCATATTGTAAAATATTGCAAGAACTCAGTTCAATTCAGTCGCTCAGTCATGTCCAACTCTTTGACCCCCATGGACCGCAGCACGCCAGGTCTCCCTGTCCATCACCAACTCCCAGAACTTGCTCAAACTCAAGTGCATCAAGTCAGTGATGCCATCCAACCATCTCATCCTCCGTCATCCCCTTCTCCTCCTGCCTTCAATCTTTCCCCAAATCAGGGTCTTTTCCAGTGAGTCAGTTCTTCACATCAGGTGTCCAAAGTATTGGAGCTTCAGATTCACCATCAGTCCTCCCAATGAATATTCAGGACTGATTTCCTTTAGGATGGACTGGGTGGATCTCCTTGCAGTCCATGGAATTTTCAAGAGTCTTCTCCAACACCACAGTTCAAAAGCATCAATTCTTCAGCACTCAACTTTCTTTATGGTCCAACTCTCACATCCATACATGACTAATGGAAAAACCATAGCTTTGACTAGATGGACCTTTGTTGGCAAAGTAATGTCTCTGCTTTTTAATACACTGTCTAGGTTGGTCATAGCTTTTCTTCCAAGGAGCAAGCGTCCTTTAATTTCATGGCTGCAGTCACCATCTGCAGTGATTTTGGAGCCGAGAAAAATAAAGTCTGTCACTGTTTCTGTTGCTTCCCCATCTATTTGTCATGAAGTGATGGGACTGGGTGCCGTGATCTTCGTTTTTTGAATGCTGAGTTTTAGGCCAGCTTTTTTACTCTCCTCTTTCACTTTCATCAAGAGGCTCTTTAGTTCCTCTTTGCTTTCCGTCATAAGGGTGGTGTCATCTGCATATCTGAGGTTACCGGTATTTCTCCTGGAAATTGTGATTCCAGCTTGTGCTTCATCCAGCCTGGCATTTTTCATGATGTGCTCTGCATGTGTTAAATAAACAGCCTTCACGTACAGCCTTTCCCGATTTGGAGCCAGTCCGCTGCTCCATGTCCAGTTCTAACCCGCTTCTTGACCTGGATACAGGTTTCTCAGGAGGCAGGTAAGGTGGTCTGGCATTCCCATCTCTTGAAGAATTTTCCCATCTCCTGAAGAAGTTTGTTGTGACCCACACAGTCAAAGACTTAAGCGTGCAACTTAAAAAATATTTCATGTACAAAATTAAAGACTGATTTTTATAATAAAAATAAAGATAACTTCAAAATCCATTTACAGTAGGAACTAATAATATGAATCTGCTTTTCTACCAGCTTACAAATCCTCTTTGGGAGATAACATAGCATCAGAAAAATGATATGTATTTATCATTATCATGTCTTTAATGTCAGATATGAGTTCTGTTCTCAGCTGAACCTCTTCAACAAAGAGCTTCTCTGAGTGAAATTGAAAGTTTCTCACTTGTGTCCAACTCTTTGTGACCCCATGGACTATACAGTGCATGGTATTCTCCAGGCCAGAACACTGGAGTGAGTAGCTGTTTCCTTCTTTTGGTTGGGATCTTCCCAACCCAGGGATCAAACCCAGGTCTCCTGCATTGCAGGCGGATTCTTTACCAGCTGAGCCACCAGGGAAGGCCAAGAATATTGGAGTGGGCAGCCTGTCCCTTCTCCAGGGGGTCTTCCTGACCCAGGTATTGAACCGGGGTCTCCTGCACTGCAGGCGGATTCTTTACCAGATGAGCTACCAGGGGGAAGGCCAAGAATATTGGAGTGGGCAGCCTGTCCCTTCTCCAGGGGGTCTTCCCGACCCAGGTATTGAGCCAGGGTCTCCTGCACTGCAGGCGGATTCTTTACCAGATGAGCTACCAGGGAAACTTCTCCGAGTGACCTTCAGCAAATAGCTTCTCTGAGTTTCACTTTTTTAATCTGTAAAATGGAATTGTCTGTCCAATGATTTAATATAATGTAAATATTTTGGAGGATGAAAAACTACTCCATAGGATATAGTGTTTTCTCTTTAAGCTTCAAATTCTTCATCTATAAACTAGGAAAGTTGAACCGGATGAGCTCTAAATTCCTTTTAAAACCTGAAATTTGAG